TGCATTGCCCCTGGCATGGGTGGTCGTAGTGTTACTGTAGGGGGATAAATGCTAAGTTCCCGACAGCTACAACAGCACCTATGGTACGACTAGACGCGGGACGATAATACACTGTGATAACTGTGTGAACCAAACTTGTTGAGATAATTGAGAGCAATTTGTGGTTGTTTTATCATGCTGGATCCTAAATGCTTGACGAAATGTGTTATTATCGTGGGGGAAGGACGATTGGATTGAATTAGAAAAAGTAAATGTCGTAGGCGTTGTGGGGTCTCGGGGGTCAAGTGAGAAAATTCAATTTATTTGCGCAATTCGGGGGGTTACATGGGCAAATGCTCTCGGATTGGTGGTGCAACGTGTCTGTTTGAGATGAAAGGATAATCGGGGGAAATGGGAGGATAATGCGATGGTATTTAGCGAGTGGGGAGATAAGATCAATCTCGTGAAGTTGTGGGGAAAGTGAGAGGGGTTATACATGATTCGAGAGAATTTATTGTATTTCTCACGTCGAGTCGAATTGTTTTGTTTCATTCTCGTTATTGATGACTTTACATTTTTGTTTGTCGTCTAAAAGTGATTATTACGTGGGTCATTAGAACATTAGATTAAAGAATTAATTTGATGAGATCATCACTATCGACTTTCGATGTCTAAATCTGAATTCCACGTCACGTGGAATAAAGATTTGGAGAATAAAGATAATCAAATAAATAAATAAAAATTTTATTTGAAGTTTTGTTTATTTCAAATAAATGTTTTTTTCAATATAAATAAATCTTTATTTGATGCAAATAATTTTTTTCTTTGAATTAAATAAATAGTTATTTAATACTAATAATTTATTATCACAAATATTGTTGACCCACACTTTGGAAATTTTTTCACAAAATACATGAAAGTGCGATTTTCTTAAAATAAGCAAACTCTTCATTTGAAATAAATACATTGGTTGTTTAATATAATGAAATTCTTTGTCTGGAAACAAATAAAGAAGTTTATTTATTTGTAATAAAAACATTCTTGAAACAAGAAAAATTTCAAACAAAGTTTTTTATTTAATTAAAAAAAAACATTTTTTAGGACGTAGTTTACAGGCGTAAATACTACTATTTCACCATGCTGTGTAACGTGACATTTTACACACGTATTGTGATGAAAACTAGCGTTCAACACTCGTAAGAAAAGTTTCTTGGACCCGTAAGAGAGTACACTGTTGGAAAAAAAAAATTTCATAGACAGTCGACTAATAATTTTCAGGAGAATGCGACATAGAATGCGATTTAAGGGGGAAAAAATTATAAAGTTTCAGATTTTACTGAGAATTTAATAAAATGCCAAATATTTGGATAATATTGGGAGTAGAATTTCTCAACCTCTTTCAATTTCCAATGAAATGATGAATATTGAGTGCCCAATTACGATGATTTTTCAATCAATTGATAATTCAATTTTCCTGATTTCTACCAATCTCCAGGTAATAATTTAACTGCAATTAACAGTTTTTCATTGATTTGTCCATCAAATTTCAATTTCAAATTTCATCGGATCTCTTCCAGCTAAGCGACCTCAACTCCGTTCATCTCGGTTGCCTTATCATTGACGATTAAAATTCTAATAAAAATGAATATTCATACAACCCATCACCTCAGATTAAATTACCAGAGCTAGACTATTCACCGCCAGTCATTTCATCCTGAGAAACAATGTTTACCCAGTAACAATGTCCCTCCACTTTGATTAAAAAGTCGGCTGGCCTGAAGGTCTCTTTGAGGTTCATAATTTAATTGCCACATTCAAGAGGTGGTAGCTCCCGCAGGGATTAATGAAGAGCCATTTGGACCGGGTGGAAAATCTTGGGAGGCGCGGCCGCAGGGCTAAGAAGAATGGCTCCCAGACGGGGCAAACGACCCGACGTTGTCTGGGACAAGGATGATTACATAATTCCACGGAAGTAAAGAGACGAGAGCCAGCGGTATAAGAGAGATTTGGGTTGAAGTTTCATGGGCGAGAGTAGAAGAGTTAAGAGGGGAGATGACTGCATTTTGGAAAGGGTATGGTATATACACTGGTATACACTGTCTGAAGTCGTTTGTGTTACATACGTGGCAAGTGTGGGGAGTGAGGTGAGGTGGAAGAAGCTTAGGAACGCCCTTGCTAAATATAATTCATCGCTGGCTGCAGTACACAACTCTAAACTTCTCTCTCGTATCTCGTCTATTATCATCCCGTCTTTCTCGCTTCGGTATCATGCACTGAAGGTGGAAAATACGTAAATTCACGTATGCACAACAGTTATTTATGGAATAACAGCTGTATACGGATTTTGAGAAAATGCGATGGTGGAAATGGGGCGAATCGACACGGTGCTTCTCTACATGTACAACCCTTCTTTCACCCTGAGGAAATAAGATATTTTTTATTGTGGGCGCGAGAGTGTGCGCTTTTTCCTCAACAATATTTCTTTGTATGTTTTTGTTTGTGACAAACAAATATATTTACTGAAAAACAATATGTTTCAGATTGAAACATGCATCCAAAAAAAGTACTGATTCAAGTCGACGTCGGTTTGATTTTAGTCAATTTTCGACTTGATTTAAGTCGAGTGAAAAGGGGTTTATTTCAAGAAGAAACGTGTCAAATCGAAAAATCAGCTTGAATCAAACCGAAAAAAACAGCTTGAATCAAACCGCAAAAAGTGATTCACGCTGAAATTCTGCCTGTTCCAAGTCGTAGATAGCGACTTGATTCAAGTTGATTTTTCGGTTTGATTCAACTCGATTTTTCGGCATGATTCAAACGGATTTTTTGGTTTGATTCGGTGAAATCATGCCGAAAAATCAACCTGACTCAAATCGAAAAATTGACCTGAATCAAGCCGAAAAATCGATCTGAATTAAACCGAAGTCGACCTGAACCAAGTTGAAAAATCGACTTAAATTAAACCAAAAAAAGGAGTGATTCACGCCGAAATTCTGTCTATTCCAAGTAGTAGATAGCGACTTGATTCAAGTAGATTTTTCAGCATAATTCAACCCGATTTTTGGGTTTGATTCAAGCCGATTGCAAGTGATTTCAATTGAACTCACTTGAAATCGATGAAATCCCAGGTTTTCACTGATTTCACTTGACTTCAGCTGATTTCATACGATTGTAGTCGTGCACGGCGAGAAATTTTGTATAAAAATTATCCTACCGTTCTGTTAAAGTGTATCATGAGTCATCGTTTCCTCATTTCTACCCCGAAATTTAGTAAAAATTAATATGTGATGATCAAATTTTATTCTACGTTAGAGAAATTTTATCCTGATAAAAATAAAAATTACCGTGCCGGTAGAGTAAAAATTACTGTACCGGTAGGGTAAAATTTACCAATCGTTCTAGAATTTTCGTTGTTATCTACATAAAAATTACTGGACTGGAAGGGTAAAATTTATTATGCGTCAGGATGAAATTTCTCTAACGTAGAATAAAATTTGATTATCATATATTAATTTTTACTAAATTTCGGGATAGAAATGAGGACACGATGACTCATGATACACTTTTATAGAACAGTAGGGTAATTTTTATCAAAAATTTCTCTCCGTGTGAGTGACACAATAATTTCACAAATGAATGGCCTCTCGAATTTTTCATTCATTTAAAAACATGGCACACGGAAATACTGGTAAAAAGTTCCAATGTTTGAATTCTATTCTATAGTTACTCGGTTTGGTTTTTGTTAATTCCATGTTTAGTTCGGGAAAACAAAGAAACAGATCGTGTTGTACTGACTTCCGAGGGTTAATTGGCTCCCGACAGTGGACCGAAAGAGCTCAGCCAAGCGAAATTCACCGTTTTATCGGCGCGTCCGATAATTAACCCCCTCAGCAATCTCCCTTTTCTCGAGTGGTTTTGCTTTCATGGGGATAACCTGAGCGTTACGATGGCGAAGCGCATCACCACTGAGTGGAGTATGGGAATAATACTACGGGGATGGAAATGCCGGGGGTTATTAGTTTAGGAGTCAAACTCGCCCGGGAGTGAAGTATCTCGAAACAAAGTCTCCCAGTTGGTATCTCATACTCTCCCCAGTGGGATATAATCAATATACAAGCGAGTACCTAACCTCTTTCACTTGAGTATAACAGAAGTTTCTATTTGCCGGAGAAAACCGAGTGATGAGGGAAGGGGGATCCATCCGCAAATGATCCCCAGGTACTCCCTCTTTCTCTTAATTTGGGTGGCTTCAACGATAACCACGGAATGTCTTTAGTTTATGAAGTCCTTAGAGGATTATAAATTGTGAAGACGTTATTTGAGAAGGAAAACCAGCAATGAATTGAAACGCATTATTATCAAGAAAATAATGACAGCTTTAAAAACATTTAACTATTCATGAATTTTTTCAACCGATGATTTCACAGAGGAAGGAAGTTTCTAGCTTCCGGGAAAATAGGTCCAAATGTCTATGGAGTGTAAAATTCTGAAAATATAGTGAAAATTGCGTGAAAAAATTTGAATAACATTTTGGACAGAATTATTTTTTTTAATCATTCGTTGTTTATAAATGAATATTTGAAATTGTTCAACCTTTCGGTCACCTTACTTTTTTTTTAGGCATGAAATCGTTGGAGGCAAAATTCTGAATATGAATAAATTTACAAATATCAATGATCGTTTAACATGAAAAACTCAATTTCACGGTAAATGAAATTCAACCTCCCGATATCGAAAATTCAGATGACGGTATGATTTAAATTTCAAGAAAATTAATAACAGTGAAATAAATTGGTCAGTTTCTTATACTCAGTGGAATGTCTCCTGTAAACATGAGTCTCGTAAAATCAGTAAATTGATTCTGGAAACTAGAAACTTTTTTCTGTATTCTATCAACAATTGTACTCCTCCTACTTTAGGAGGAATTTTCTCCTTCTCCGAATAAAGATGTAATTAGATTAGAATAATATTAAATTCTTCCATTTATCGTCTAACAGGAAAATATTTTGTACTTGTTACAGTCCAAGCAGTACAGCGCTGGGTTCGCTCGATCAGCTGAAGGAGTACCTGACAACCGCGGGCACTTGCAAGTGCGGTCTAGAGTGCCCACTTAGACCAGAACAGGTCTTCAACTTCGATCCCAAGGTCAGTGTCAATAAACAACCAATATATTCTGCATTTTATTTGTTCTCCTCGCGCTCATCCATTTCATCTTTATTATCCCACGGGTCAATTACACCCATGAATTGGCTGTCAAACGCACGTTACGCGGGTACCATGTAATTAATGTCATGTTTCTGATAAGGCTAGACACGTTTTATGAGACTGATAATCCTCTGACTCATTCCGCAACGCTTGAGGCGCTCAAACATACCGACACCTTAACATACTCCAGAGGAAACTTTATGCTTGGATGACCTAACTTGGCGAGTTATCGATTATCGATTTCCTGGATTGGAGATGGATGTAGTGGAGAGAGCTCAACGGCTTTTAACATCCATCAATGGCGAGTTTGATTATGTCCATTTCAGATTACCGGGAATTCTGAAAGGAATTCGTGATTGAATATCGAGTGTTGTAAATACTGAGTATTGCTGTCTCCACACGGAGAGAAAAGTTGGATGAAAATTATACCACAAGTAATACCACCAGAGCTTCAAAATTATCGAGCAATTCCCGATAGGTTCGTTGCAAAGAAACGAAGGAGTCAAGCTTTTCAGGTTAAAAAATCACGAATGCGAAGCACGAGTGATTTTTCCTGAAAAACTTGACGACTTCGTTTGTGTGCAGGGAACCTTGAGAGAATTACTCGATTAATTTTGAAGCTCGAGTGGTATTCGGGAGGGAATTTTCTCATCCAAATGTCGGCCAAAAGAATTGCACTATGAGATAAAATCCATCTGCAGTTCCAACCAGGGGTTCACTCGACCACGGAATCTTTTGTTTTCCACAAATATAGTCTTGACTTTCCGCCCTTGATGCACAATATACTATATTTGATACACGGAGAGAAAAGTTTGGGAAAAATTTTAGTGCTCGGCACCCGAAACGAGTCGCAAACTGCCGAACTCCCATATTTTAATCGAAATAAGAATAAAAATTCTAGATCAGCACGGAAATTTTGCTGTAAGTTAATCAATTTTTGCAAAGAAGCACGAGAAAAATTCTAGAGCTGGCACTAGAAAATTTCCCGGTGTGTCAATTTTGTGGGGAATTCAGTAGAAAATTGTGGGAAAAACTTCATTAATTCTTGGTAACATTAGAAATTTTATTGTGCAGTTGGAGAATTTTTCTAGTGCTAGCACTAGAATTTTTGCCGTTCTTCCTATCCTCGTACCTGTCCGCGCGACATCGGCAACGTTCGGCTCGCCGAAGTGAGTCGAACAGATGCACTCGGGAGTCTTCAACGTCGGGTAACGTTAGCGCGTGTTCTGCAGAATTATGTGATAATCAGGAATTATTGGGCTTATTTTTCTCTGAAAGTATGATTAACCATATCAAATTTGTGGGAAAAAAAAGTGTGAAACAACCGGTCGTCGAATCATTTCTGGATTATTTGATGTAGTCAAATAATACAAGAACACCATTAAGAATCCTTTTTCATAAAGTTGATTGACAATGAATGATTGTTTCGATTGTTAACTTTTTATTCGCCTTGCGATTGGTTGATGGATCAATCAATGATTTCCATGACTACGACGATGTTATTGTGCGTTACAGCACTCACTTGAAGGTGGTCGCGCGCGACAGCACGCATGATTGTCTAGTGTTTGAAATAAAATGTTAAAATATCGAGAAAAAATAGAATTGAGCATGTTCGAATCATGTACATACAAGCTACCGTTTCACGTGTTTCGCGAACCTAACGGATTACAGTTGATTCTCACCATCAGTGAGATTGCATTCTGATCATTCACTTGAAATACTGTCACAACATCGTAACCTGCAAGTTACAGAGGAAATAGTCGTGAGCTCTAACGACAAGAAAACCCCAACAAACAACAAACAAACAATTATTTGGCGCTGCGCATCTATCACGTCCAATAAAACAAAACATATCACGTAAGACATTTAGGAGGAAGAGAGGTGGTAGGAGAAGAAATTTCAGTACCATGGAATTTCTATCAGGGAGACGATGGTTCAAGACGGTCGTATGTACTGGAGTGAAAAGTGCAATCAAAATTGGGTTCAGTACGATTCTAGAAAACCCTGATCATTCAAATTTCGCGTTTTCTGGATTAGCTAACGAATATTGTTGAAACACAATCTCGAATTCCGTTCACAAAATCCAGGAAAAGGTGATTTTCTTAAAATAAGCAAACTCTTTATTTGAAATAAATAAATTGTTTGTTTGATGTAATTAAATCCCTTTTCTTGAAACAAGTAAACAAGTTTATTCATTTGTAACAAAAATATTTTTGAAGCAAGTAAAAAATTTCAAAACACGATTTTTATTTGATTTGAAGCACCATTTTTTTTGTATATAAAATTGAAATTACGAAAGTTTCAAATCAGGAATCACTCGACAATTCTCGGACTTAAACGCAGAACCTTCAACTTTAGAGACTCGGACGTCCCTAAAAAGCGGCAGAGGATCAAAAAATGATGTTTTTCCTTATCAACATTATGTGCTATCTATGTGTTTTTTTGGTGCCAAAACAAAATAAATGTTGCGCCAACCCTTCTGAAGATCAGCATGGAGTTTTTAAAATAAGGGATTATTACAAACAACGATATACCATAATTATGTGCTTTTTACGTGCTTCCGCTTAGCGAAAGAGAAAAGGCGGAAGGGGGTTTATGTAGGAGAAATCGCCCTTGTAGGGGAAAATACACCTTCCCGGGGAAGGGTTGAAAAACCAATATTGGTGATAATGGCTATATACATTAGGCCATAATTATATGTTCTTTATGGGTTCTACCCATCGATTTGGCACTTCACCCATTCGCCCATCCACTCACCTTGCACAAACCCATGTGTATTTGTATTCGAATAAAATCACCTGCCATAACAAAATTTAAATAATTCCATTCAATTTTATGTGAATCCTTTAATTGAATCATAGAATAAAAAATTGGATTTTCATTGATTTCACGGAGAAATCAATAATTTAACAATGGAAACGATACAAGAACCCGTAATTTGAATATTGCCACCCAAAGGTAAAGGAATTTCAGTTGGATTAAGGATGCTTAACCTATCAAGTGAACAACTCAGTTGACAAAAAAATAAAATTGATTAAAAAAATCATTTATGTTAAAAATTATTTTTCTCATCAAATTAGAAGTGTTACGGCGTACTTTTGCAGTCTCAAAAACAATAATTAAAGGAAATGTTCATATAAATAATGGAGGACTTGTCACTGCGCTGGTAATAGTCGAATTTTGATCGGGCAACATCGCACGCTTCGGCTTGTAGTGGGGTTTTAATAGTGAGATGAATGTTTGTGTGTGTTATACGTGTCCATATGCTTCCAGCACTGAATTATTGTCACCGACTTTACCGACCTCGATCAGCTGTTGTGTGGTGTTGTCGCGTTGCTCGACTCATAATGGCGGTCAAATTTCTTTTAGAGGAATTTGAAAATCGATCGAAGATATCACGCCTATATGGCCCGGTCCCCTACTTGTTCTCGCCGGCGATAAATTCTTGTCACGTTTCTTCCCTAAGGGTAATGTTACAAGAAGTGATTTTCAGAACTTAATTTCTCACTAGGACGCCCCGATGGAAGGATTAAGATTATTTCCAACGTGTGGCTTAAATATGAACCTGCCATAGGAGACAATATCAAAATTATCGTGAACAATGTGGGTTTTGGCTAAACATCCTCAAACTAAATTCAATTCCTTATAATCGAGTCAGAAAAAATGTTCATTTTATTTTTCCTGATTGCAATTTAACAATGGTTACGAGATACAAACCCGTAACTTGACTATTGCCACCCAAGGGTACAGGGATTTCATGGATGAAACTAAATTCAATGCATTGCTGAGAATCATGGAATTTTCGTACACCTGTTCACACTAAATCCAAATAATCTCCTTGTTTGTCCTTCGTTTGTCATTGAAGCACTCCACAAAATTTAATCCCAACGCTTTCACTCGTAATTCCCCAATTTATCCCGAATTAAATAAAGAAGATTTCTGTGGGAACGTGAGGTATCTCTCGAAACCTCCCAGGAAGCCCAGGCGTTCCGCTCGGCGGTCCGAAATTGCCCATAAATACTCACCAAAATGAACAGTGAAAAGGCGAAAATAAATACGCGAAGGATACGCGCGATGAGAGCGTATAATTGTAATGTGCACCTGCTCTCAATCCGCTGTTTGTCTCTTCACCCCACACGTTACACCAAAGCTCTGATATATTTTCGAGCAAAAAGGGGAAGATTACTTATTCAGAGGACGTAAAAATGTGAAAATTCGAGAGGTCAAATGGTGAAGAGGCAAGTGAAAATAGAGAACGGAATGTAATTTCCTGAAAAAAGTCATAATTCTTAACAACCGCCCTTGCAATATCACGAATGTACTCATAATGCATGAGAGTACACCGGTGGTGGAGTGATTTCGTATCTCGTTTCAGACACTTCCCCCGCTGGCACAAGTGGTCACGTATTTTTCGCGGGACAAATTCCATCGGTATGTACATGCACAAACGAAAAAGGGTAGGTTACACAAGCCACCGTAAAGACTCGTAAAACGAGTGGCTCTCCTCTCTCGGGTGTTTTACATCAGTGCCTCCTCACACAGTCACTTCGTTTTCCCTTCGTATTACAGTACGTACCACCCGAACCCCCCTCTTGGCGATTAAATCTACAAAATCTGCAATGCAAAGTCATTTTACCCGTGGGTTTCTCTCTTTCGAGGGAGCGTGTACGCTTACTTTTAGAATTTGAGAATTTGGCTTCAATGAAATTGTCGAAAAAGCTGACGGGGATTCGTTAGTGTAGTCAAAACACACGTGAAAATGTGAATAATGGAAACAGACTGAATATGAAAGGTCAATGTTTACGTATGGATAATGACGCGAATCTTATGGTAATATTTGATGCTAGTGTTATTCGGATTGGATGGGAGTTGAATGAAGATATGGGATCATATTTGTTATTTGAGTGTGTGTAGCGCGTGATGAATAATTCTTGGGTTTA